GGAAAAACGCGTCAATGCTTGGGCCAATTCCGCTAGACCTAACGTAACAGGCTTGATTTCACAGGCAATCGAATGCGAGGCTAGCGTATCATAGGCAATGAGGAACATGGTTGGCAATAACCTATAAATCACCCACAAAAAACCAACTCAATTCCCGGATATGCCGTTTTAAAATCACAAGCAGTTGACTATGGAAAAATTCTTACTGAACAAAAAGATCGTCAATTAAAATGTCTTCAAGATATTTCAATGCCTACATAATTGGATCAACATTAGTCATAAAAACTTGCAACTTTGAAACGTAATCAATGTTATCTCACCTTCTCTCCTTCAACTAAATAGTCAAACAACGGCTTTTGTCGACTGACTGGAACTCGGCGTGCCCTCTAGTAATTGATAAAAATTTGAGCACATTATGTACGAAAACAGGAAGCATATGCACATGTACAAAAGGCTCTACTTACCTCCCATAAGTTTTGCCAAAAGTTTCCTTCCTTCAACATTCGCGGGCTTAAACAGCCTTTGTCCGGATCGTCCCCTTCGTCCGGGATCCAATCGCGTGGTGAATGCCACCGAACAAAATCTTCGAGAGTTGCCTGCGGATTAGCAGCTTTAAAGGCCTCCATATCTTTAGGGGGGAAAACCATATCAGTAAATACCCACACGCAAACAATTTAAAAAGATCGTTATCAACTTTTTTTGCAAAATACCTGACTTTAAACAAGAAGACTGAATTTCTGCGCGTTTTCTACTAGCAGATTCCGAACACCCTAAATTCGCCAAAAATTCTTCCTGCTCTCTGACCATATCCTCGGTTAAAAGACCTGCATCCTAAAAATTTTCATGGAAAAATATTATTAAGCAAAGGGGATTTCTAAATTTGCTTATAGTAAAGAAACCTCCCCCCTCAAAAAAACTCACTTGTGTCTCTGGTACCCAGACCGGTTCTCCCGTCTTTTGCAAACGAATTCCTGCCAGCATGTATAAATGCCCTTCCCTCACGTGCTCATCAATAACTTCACCCGAGCTACCGTTGATGCTGATACTCTCGTTCGATCCCGGTTTACTACTACTCCCATAGCCACAGTCGAATCCCGAAATCGATTCTGAACTGGACGAGTAACTCAGTTGAACAAAAGAATCGGTTAATAGAGAACTTTGATTGGGATCGGAATATTCCGAAGGCGTTGGTGAAAAAGCGTTTCCGATCACTGAAGAACCGTTCATTAGTTGAGGTTGAGCAGCAGCGGCAGACCGACTATTTTGATAATCCAACGTCCCGGTAACTTCGTCGTTGATCATTTCTTTCTCGACAAATATCAAGTCATTTATGGTCGGCGACTGGGTTGGCTGATGGAAAATATGTGCAAAGTTACTTTATCCGCGCGTTTTCTTTTCATTTACTAAAATATATAACGGATTCTTAATACCCGGCTTACATTGACATATTTATCCATTCGACTTGGTACTGGGAAGACTGCGGATGACGGAGAACTAGTAACCGAAGCGCTAGTAGAAAAGATATCCGAGTTATTACCGACAAGAATCACCGAAGACGACGGGTCAATCGACGGCAAGTCATCCGTGGATATACTGTTGAAGGAGTTAATGAGTACAGCGTCAACGTTTTCGCTTTCAAATTGTCTCGGTATGCTTCCAGATGGTGACGGTTGAGGTATTTTGGGTTTTAAAATATTTGTAAAGGATGAGTTTAACGAGCTGCTAGAGGGAATTCTTCGGCGAAGTGAGTGTGGGCTTGTGGATAATGGAGTACCATCCCGTTGCAGTTTTCTTAAGCGCTCAATACAGCAATTGATCATGCAGAGCTTTTGATGAACAATATTAAAACGAAGATCGATTCCTATCCGTTTTCGATCATTGTGTTCGGTTGACGACTTGGACAGGCCGTTATTTGCGAAACCATCTCGAGCATAATTCCGCTCTCTGTTATCCAACATGCGGTATATGTCAACATTGGGTACCGTTTCCCTCCGTTCCCAACACTGCCTGATACGCTTCAGCATCTCATTCCATATAATCTTTAACGATCCCATCAAGGAGGATTGGCTGTTGGTTGCAGGAGAAACCGATTCCAACAGGTATTCTAGCAAGTTCCACAAGAGTGACATTGCCGGTACTATCGTACCATGTCTGAAATTAAGATCGAGTGCAGTCGCATTCATGAACGTTATGCCGTTCGGCAAAATTGTAGGTTCCGTGGCAGTTTCTGGAGCCAATCCGCCATTTCTGTACGGATCAAATAAAGCATGCATCACGTTATCAATATCCACCATATCGACTATTGTAAGTGCAACTGATCCTTGCAGTTCCTGCTGCTCGGCAAAGGATTTCGTTCGAACAAAATCTGGTCGGGGTAATCTATGGTAAATCGGCGTATTTGCCGATATGGTGTTGGAAATGTCTCTTAGCCAGGATTGAATAGCTTCTTGGAGAATACTGGCAAGCTGTGCGTATGGCGTCTCTTCGGTTGCAAATTTGCAAGTCAATGACCATATTGGCGCGCCCACGGCATCCATTTCCGTGTATACATCATCATCCGTATACGCTTCGTGTGGGGCAGATGGAAATAATACGGTAAGTGTTAATGATATTAACGGGTCTTTTACTGGACCAAATGGTAACTTGGATTGACAGGCCGTGGTACGTTTATACCCGGCACTCTGAGACGTCTCTTGGTAGTCGATATTTCTTGTTGCGTATGACGCTACATCAGCCTGCTCAAACCCGTCCAAAAACAGATCCTCGTCAAATGCAGCATTGCTCCTTGAGCTTATGGTATCACACTCTTCACCCAACCTTCGCCAGTCGTCATCATCCAAATTTACAAGTTCGTAAGTAAATAAAGCTGATACATTTATCTTGAGCTTTGATATTGTGCTTTCGTTCTCGTTTTCTCTCTCTTCTGTTAGCCGTATCCGATTGAAAATGATAGGTGTGTCAGAGTTCTGGACGAAGTTACTACATGAATTACTTGAGCTCTAGGTATATCTAGCTCTGGCTGCGAATGTAATATAAGAAATAAAAGATAAAAAACTTTTACCTCGCCAACGCTGATGTAACTTTAATTTCTCCAAGAATAGAGAAGTCAACCCCGATAGATGAGTATGAGCTGGTTGAACATCACGGACTTGTAACATATGAAATCGAAATTTCATAAATTGTCCGTCCTGCGGAAATAAACACAAATGACCCTCATACAAAGAATTCGAAATCTGTCCGGTTGGAGCAAACACTGGTAGATTGCATTTTATATTCTTAAATGCGATAACAAAAGACTTCAAGACACGCTCCGTAGTACTTCGATCTATTGAGCCTGTATTATAAATATCGGATCGAGTTGTTGGTGTGATGACTAGAAGACGTCGCCATCCGGTCCATCGATGTAGATTGTGAAATTCTATCTGTTCGCCCGACGAGCAAGTTGGAAGTGACAAAGGAAGAAATTCAGGAGTCTTAAGAGGTTGATTTACCGACGTATCTTCCGAAGACTCCCGAGATGCAGTGTTTTCATCAAGCCATTTGCTACCGGGATGGCAGTGGTAGGACAGCGTGTAAGAATTATCGTCGAGTATAATTGTCTCTTTTCTGATATATGGATCGACAACTTTAAAGTCACGTTCCCGTAGCAAATGTAATTTAGAGTCATCAAATATTCCAAAAGAACCATCGGAGACTTCCCAGGCTCTTAATACCTCTTCCACCATAGTCACAAAACGATCCCAATAAGAGGTAGACGTATATTCTACAATCTCAAAGCGGTCATCTTCCATCGACGGTATCTGAGCCACTGATAATGGCGTCACTCTTCTAGAATTAAACATCATTGTGAGCGTTAAAAGAAAGAGAGATCATGACTATAAAGACTGTGATCGGAATGCGTAAAAAAACTAGCAAATTTTTGAAATTTGTCCTTGCATAATTGTAACCAATCGGACTCTTTACATTGATAGCTGCGGTATTACGTCATCGGACGTACGTGGCACATTCCAAGTCCACGAATTTACAGCATGGCCGCAGCCGGTTACTTTTTATGAAAAATGAACGACCAAATTTCAGATTCTAACAGCAAGCCATTTCCAGTAACGACTAGACAATCTGCTAGAGTAATCAATGGTGACCATACAGAAGTGCTTGTTCTTGGTTTTATAGATAAGATTCTCGTGATTATATCCCAGTACGGGTCAATCGGAAGTTTGGTAAGTCGTTTTGTAATAAACACGCTATGCACAATTCATGTTTTTCTCATCTCTTTTCACTAGATATACGCAACACTTGAAAAATCGCCCGCTCCCCTCGCACTGTCTCCGACAACTGCAAGCACGCCGCTTCTCGGCATTTACCCCACGCTGTATCAATTGTATGTGAATGAGATTGCGCAATTGATCAGGAATGAAAATCAGGGTGAACAGAGGGGTGTCGTGGTGGGATTGGCTCTAAAGGAACGAGCCGAGAACGAGGGAACGCTAGGCAATACAGAAGTTTTTGAAAATGCTATGGAAATGATAAAGGAGTGTAAAGTGTGGTAACATAATGGGGATGCAATCCGGGGATACAATCACTACTAGCTTTCAGCAGAAATGTAATGTATCCGAGACAAAAGATCGAGAGATCAGGAAATAAACAAAAAGCTGGTAAACTCATCGAGGTAGTATTGGCTACTCTAGATGTTACACGGAACATTTTTTATATGAGTTACTATACTGCGATGGCAGAACTTTTAACCACGTTTTCTTTTATTTAAAGTTCATGTGGTCTGTGCAGGCTATGGAAGCGATACTAGCATGTTTGCGTTTCCATTCTTGTGAACGAATAGGTGAGTTTAATTAGTTGATTGGCAAAACATCGTAAACGTAATGTGGTATAATAAGTGATTGCGAATGGCACAGTTAGCTGTAAGCAACAATAAATACAAGTTATAATATAATACTTGCCGATTCGGGATACAAAGTTGCAATTACATAGGGAAATCGATAAATCTCTCTCCAATAAGTAGCCATGGCCATCCGGTTTAGCGAGCTTACCTACTACTACGTACTATATTAAAATAGAGGAGTTAAACCCATGCTTTCAATTAAAGTGGCTTTTTCTGGAACTTTTTGCTATGTATTAGTTTTTTCTTAGTACCAACAACATAGTTAAAATCATAACATGGTGTTGATTGTTGAAATTAAAGTGAAAGCTCATAAATGATACCCTAACTTCGACCAAATACAAAAAGGACAATTCCTTTAACGTGACAATTACAACCAGCACGGTAGTTTAGAGAAAAGAGAGGGGGTGTCAGCCAAATCCCTCTATTATTTGGTTAACAACCTTAAAAGTAATTTGCTGTGAGAATATTAATCGGCCCCTTATAATAAATTGTGCTGGTAGCTGATGCGTGCCGTTTAATTTAATCTGCAATACATGAACTAATCTTTGTTTTTCTTTTTGCTAATTCTCTCGTTATTCTTCTATATATTGAATCTGCTTTATGAAGACAGTATTCTTGTTCTTTCCATGGTTTAAAATGTGTGGTCAAGACATAACTAGAGGGAAGGAAATTGGTACAGTGCATTGGTGCGGGACCTGTCCACGTCATCTTTGAACCGAGCTCGAATATAGTACGTCTTCAGATGATTGATTCTCAATATTTACTTTTTAATAATAATTAATGTGTTATTATTTCTTTCATATTCAAATGATCTGAGCAGCTAACGTGCACGATATTAATTTTAACTCATATTGACGTATATAATTTATAAAACTGCGAATTACAGATTTAGTCAAATCTTGAGTCACTAAATCAGAGATAACCGATGATGTTAATATTATTTATTTTAAAATCAACATGCTATCTTCACATCTGCAACTGAATCACAGCACTGCTGTCTCTTGGTTTAGGCAGATCTCCAGTAGGTAAGAGTGTGCTAGAATATTTACTCTCTTTCTCAAACCGTGATAAGGGTTTTCACATCGTTATGATAAACGGCATTTTACGTGTCGTCATCAGAACTGGCCATCTTCATAATAGCCCGTGAATATGCGCCAAAAGTTCCATGACACGTGGACGGTTATCAGGATCATCATCACAACACCATTCTGCAAGTTTCGTGTATTCATCTGGTGCGGAATCAGGCGTCGATGGTCGTAGTCCGTCCATAATCTCGCGTATTAAACTTGCATCGAAGTGCCTATCTCCAAAAGGTGGTTCACCAGTGGCCATTAAATACATAATGATACCAAAAGAATATATGTCTGACTTTTGAGTAAATTTGCGGGTACGGAAGACTTCTGGTGCGATAAAGGGTAAAACTCCTCGAATGATTGAATTTGACTCGTGTGAATTCACCGATCGAAAATCGCATATGAATGGAATACAAACATTAGGATGTTCTTCATGCATAAGTATGTTTCCGCCATGGATGTCACAATGCACTAAACCCGCACGATGAATGCAAGACAGTCTATTTGCAATATCCTGCAAACACAGTAATTTATCCTTCCATGTCAATTTGTTAATATTTCGATCCAAATAAGACAAAAGACTACCATTGTTAGCATACTGCATAACAATCATGTATTCTTTTGTTTCCGAGATTTGTGTGACTCCATAAATTGCAAGGGAATAACCCAGACCACATGCATGATTTTTGAACTATTATAAATGCAGCGTTAATCTAAATATCACTTTGATTTATGCTATACAATTATTGCTTACCTCAGAAATAAGTAATTCCGGCATTTTATCAAAACTCTTAAACCGTTTGAGTGCAACGGTTTCCTGCATACTAATACCTTCTTCTAAATACTTTCTATATTTAGCGGTATAGACAGTTGCGTCACTTCCAGATCCAATCTCTTTGAATTCGTAAAAGTCACTATACTGCATGCATATTACACAATCATTATCTCGTACAAGTCTATCCAATATTGCTTGTACGTCGTAGTAGAAAACTAAATAATATTCCCGAGTAGATGGCTCTTGGGCGATCCCAATTATCCAAATATTATCTCGTGTTAATATCTCTGGGTATTCCTTAGTCAACTATTTGAGTAAACCAATACAGTCGTTACAATGCTGGTCGATATAAACGCGTGACACACACGTTAATAATACTATTTGTGAATAATTTACCTGATAAAAATCCAACAATTGATCGTCCCCTTTGTTAACTATCTTTTTGAGTGTCACGCGTGTCAATTCATTTGTTGTTTGTTCTGACCATTCTGCTACATGAGTGCATCCATGGCATAATGATGGCATTTGTTGTACGTTTGTCAATAGCGAGTATTCTATCCACTGTATATACGCATCATCTACTTTCTTTATATTATTCCATGACTCCATTATAAATGAATCCAATGACTTGTTGCCCGTAGTCCAATCAAGAAGTCTTGGTGCCTTACAGTGATAACAGAACGCATTTATATTGGAAATAAATAAATGTGCGCATGCTAGACATAGCCCATCCTCATACGGTAGTTTTATTAGAAAATATTTCTGTTCGCTTGCATTATATGTGAATCCGATAGTAAGCCAAACATGGGTGGCAAGAATATCTGGATGCTTATCACATAACTAGTGGAAATGATACATAATAACAAGTCAATGATTATTTAATAAATATGACGCATGAGTAAATAGTTTACCTCGGCATAATACGAATCGTGTGTCTCGTCCGTTATCTCAAGTGGAATCAATCTGACAGTTAGTGGACATTCACAAATAGGTAAACTATCAAAGTATGCATAAGAGTTATAGTTATGAATGTCAAATGGAATCCATTCCAAATAGGCATGATTAGGTGAGTTTGTTTGCAATTGAGATTTCCTAATAAACTCGTCGAGTCGTTTATTGTTGCTAGTCCACCCATTGGATAATTGTTTATGTCCGCAGATGCACCACACAGGACTACATCGGAGTATTCCGCATTTGGAGCAAAATCCATACCGAGAATAACAATAGTAAAAGAGTTTATCAGCAAGCATATAATAATTGCCATCATATTTGGTAAACCCTTTTATGAGTTTGTTGCGATTCTCAAGCCATTTAAAATATCGTCTAAAGTGACCGAGATCCTTTGTGTGCTTGTGTGTCGGAAGTGAGTATATTCTGGCAAACTCACTCACAAGTGTTGGTGTGCATTCTTCGTTACTCCCTAGTAGTAGCAACATTATCGGTGTTTCTCTCACTTCTCTATATGGTTTATGTTTGCGAATAGCATAGTAGATGTTGTCAATTTGACTTGACTCTGTTTTGATAATTTCCGAATGAGGAATCCATTTTATATATTTTGAGGATTGAACTAATTTGTCAATTTCCGGATTATGAATATCGTTAACGACCGACGACATAGTTTGGATAATAATAAAAATTTTCAAACTCATCACTTATTTGTATAACATTGTACATGATGTAGACGCAGTAACTTGTAGCATAATCTCACAGCGGATGCATTAGACGTAAGAATGATGTTTTTACAATAATTTTTGCGAGATACAACGAAGACCCACTATCATGTCAAAATAATTTATTCATCTTAACGCTTTATCTCAATATTTGATACAAGAAGTTTGATGTATCACTTCTTGGATCGCAGTCACCCCGTTATGCAATACTATGACATACGTGTTTGAAAGAAAGTATGTCTGGTCGCAAAGATAGTAGAAAAGATTGTTTCAACTAAAACTTAAGAGAACCCAATCTATCATTATCATTATGGAGAAAAATATGTTCAACACAACAATCTTCTTGCTCCACCGTCTAAACTTTTTCTTCAATCTGTGAGTACAGGAATATTTTATTACCAAAAGAGTCAATGAAATGATTAAATGAATGCATGAACGCTTTCCTATTTTTTGTCGTTGGCACGCTTTGCCGTTACACGTAATATTATGAACTGGTATTAAATGCGCACAATTTGTAATATCTTTTAGATCAAAATAAGAAGAAGTGTGTTGTTTCTATATCAATTTAGCGTCGCAAATGAGGAGGAAACACTATAAAAAGCATATTAATATGGCGTTTACAGCTGGTTTAGTAAATTCATCAAAAGACTGCAATTCATAGTCACAGACAACTTTCTGATATATTACTATTGTCTCTCTGATTACGCTTTTCTTTTGAAGATATCCGTGTAAATGCAAAAGTTAATTTTTTTCTGCGAATAAAAGCTTTACGTGTTCTATCCGAAGCTGTCGGAGCAGATACGTAGCAGCGTAACTATAAATTCACGAATCGTAAAACGTTCCAATTTCATTAAATGATCTGGGGGAATAAATATTGATCGTATAATAACCAATATAATCATCGTCAAATGAGGTTAAATTTTCAATTCTACCTCGACAATAGGGCATGTATTATTTATACGAATTTATGAATAATTTGGTGCAATAATCCTGCACTTTATTCAGGCCTGACTGTTTCTATATGATTTATTCAACAAACGAAATGTCGTTTGAGAGAAAAAGGCTGCAGAATGTTTAGAATTTTGATCCAACTAATTTTGGTTTAGATGCTTTGTTGTTAAAAATAATAGCCAACAGCTAGCGAATAATTGGACCTAGTCGCCTAATTTGAGGACCAAATATTTATAACTGTAAAATGACAATAATGTTTATCATAATAATACAGTAATATTAAACAACTTTAATTAATATTAATCAGCCGATCGTCAAGCCACTTCCTCCGCCATAAAATTCCGCAGACTGCGCTACTGCTCTCTTTTCTCACCTCTTTTCAAAATGTCGGGAATAAACAGTTCCTGGGACTCGTTCAGAGAAGCATTAGATAGCGATGATGAATTTGAAGGAGATGAATTATTACAAGTATGCTGGATTCGTCAGACGTTAAATACTGGGTTATGCTTATTATCGAATTTTAACGCGTAATCGGTCACTAAAACTCGGCGCGTTTTTACACCCTTTTACCAGCAAATTGCAACGAACAGAGATGCTATAGTATTCCTGATTGACTACTCTCCCTCGACTATGACGGCCACCACTGATACTAACGAACCATTCGTCAAGGCCGTGTTTTCCTGCGTTCAGACTGTCATGCTGCGGAGAATAATGGATAGAACTAACGACTTAATTGGAGTCGTGGTATATGGAACCGTAAGTCCTACTGAACGAATAAAGTGTTCTAACGTAGTGGTTTTGTAAATGCATTCTCTCATTTCCACGTTCTATGTTTCTATTAGGAGGGACATGAGAATGCATTGGACTATGAGAACATTACTGTTGTCGAAAGTCTCAACCCCTTAGATTTGCCCGCAATACAGAAAATAAAACCGTTAGCAAAAAGTGGGTTCATACAAGCAAATTTGTAAATGTTTGGCATTCACATTTGCCTGAATGGTGTTTTTAAAGACTTGTTCATACCTAACAGACGTCAGTGATGGCGGAGTCGATTTACAGCAACAATTTGGTACTCCTTCGACGAATTATGAACTTGCAAATGCGTTCTTAGTATGCAATAACTTATTTGAACAGATGTGAATATTATGTTCATATTTAATGTTATTGCTATTTGCTTTCTTTTGAACATTCATTGAAATTGACGCATGATTCTGCCACCATCCCCAAATCCAGAGAAAAAAAAGCGTTGAAGCGCAAACGCGTCTTTCTGGTTACTGATGAAGACAACCCCCATGGCCTTGATGGTCCTCGAAGAAGTGCTGCTCTTACGAGAGCAAGGGTAAGCTTTGTTCGATGACTCTATTTTTCATACGTGGAGAGTCTTATCTTCTTGTTTGTAGGATCTGCAAGAACGTGGGGTAGAGTTACATTTGTTCAGTGTCAGTAAGGGTGACGAACCGTTCAATTTCGAAGCATTTTACGCCGTGAGTATTATATACAAGATGAGCGTTTCGTTTGTATGAAACTTTGGCTATAAAAACCTGACTTTCAATACGTTATTAGGAACTGATTGGAATTGACAAATACAATCATGTTGCGACACGAAAAAGTTTCGAAGAATTACTTGCCGTAATACTGAAAAGAGAATCTCCTCGTCGAGCGACATTCAGCACACTTCTCCGATTGTTCGGGGATGATGCAAGACTTCATATTGGTGTCAAAGGGTAAGAATTTGAATGCATGCTTTTTTTACGATTTGGATTAAATTGACCGTGATAGCATCTTGAGTTTAGGTATCCGCTAGCTTTAGCTCGTAACAGACCTGGTCACACTTGGGCTTGTGCTATGGGAGGTGAAAATAAGCCGGTACAAGGCCGAGCTACCTATATATGCTCTGTGAGTAAGTGTGTCATGTACTAGTAGGGAGCAAGTCCTGATGTATGTGCAAACTAATAAGGCTCTTGATAGGATACCAATCAACCGCTAATGGAAGAAGACATGAAAGGATATTTGTTATACGGCGGGGAAAAGGTAACAATATGGTTTTCCGTGTTTATAGAGAACGGTAATGGAATACTCACCTATAGTTTTCTCTCTCGTAGATTGTTTTCACGAATGAAGAGCAAAAGGCTATCAAGAGTACTGGAGATATTGGTAATGATTAATCAAAGCAACGCCTGGACAACTTTAATAATATTTGGTATTAAGACGCGTACTTTTGAATAGGATTTACACTAATAGGATTTAAACCCGAAGATAAGTACAAGTTGTACTATCATTTCACGTCGCCTTATTTCTTGTATCCTGATGAAGAGGTATCATTATTCAAATTTCATAATTTGTATTTCTCTGAGGATATTCGCGGGCAGAGGCCTTATTTTTCCTTTTTTTCTTTTGCTATAGGCTTATAAAGGGAGCACTCGGACATTCGCAGCCCTTCACAAGCAAATGTTAGAAATGAAGAAAATAGCCGTATGCAGTTTCAAGCAACGAGCACAGGCGACTCCATACTTATGTGTACTCAAACCACAGGTAGCTTTCACAACCATCTCAGATACTGAATGGGTTAATAGTACGAAGAGTCGTGTCTTCTTTGGAGGACGAACCGTTTATATATACCATGTGCAACCTACACGGCAAACTTATAATTGATCACTCTTTTACATGATACATTTCTTAGGCCGAGATGCTCGACGAGAACGGACGCCAGGTAATGCCTCCAGGATTTGTAGTCGTTCGCATCCCGTATAAAGATGACGTCCGACCAACGCCGAAGCAAGCAGAAGAACCAATAAGAGGTTTATTTCATCTTCCTTACCATATTCCACGTTGCTTCTGATTTTTACATCCTTACCAATATTGACTCGTTCAACCCTTCACTTTTATAAAGCCTCCGATGATTTCATAGACGCTTGTTTGCCTGTTATTGAAGACTTAACAATACGAAGAGGATATCGTCCCGATTCATTCACGAATCCTGGTATGTGTGGTTCAATCTTTGCGATTGATTCCGTTTACGAGTGCCACTTACGTTAATACAGCTCACTGTTTTTGGTCTTCAGCTTTAGCAAAGTTTTACCATGTTTTGGCTGAAATTGCTCTTGGTGAAGAGTTGGAGGAACAACCAAAGGATAATACTATTCCTAAATATAGAGGGATGCATAGAGTACGTCTATCGTTTAACATAGTGAGATAAGGCGAAGGAGTGCGGGAGGAACTATATATGTTATAGATATCCTTTGTATATTTACATATCCGGTCATGCCACCACCATACGTACATTTAACAGAGAGTCGGCGAGAAGATCAAAGTCTTTAATAGCAAAATTTCAGAAGCGGTTGAAGCGGAGGCCTCAACTACAACCGCGTCTACATCCAGCTCCGCGTCTAGGTCTACATCAAGAACAATATCCAGGTCTACGTCCAACGCGAGCGACGCTAGCAATCTGCAAGAGTTATGGGAAGCCGGGAGGGTATGTCTATTTACGCCAAAATAATATATTTATGACATAAATATTTACAAATTTTCCAATTTTTATCTAGTTGGATCGAGCGACTGTTGCACAACTGAAAGAGTTCCTTACACAGGCTGGTATAACGCCTGAGAGACGGAAGGCGGATCTTTTACGACAAGTTCAACAGTATTTCCAAGCCGGTAGCAGCAGCGCTACCTAGTTCGTTGAACTGTGTAATTTGATAAGTAAACGTAATATAATTGTGTCATCCTGATGGCCGCTGTAATTGATAAATGATGCAAAAACATTACATGATAAAAGATAGAAACAAACGCAGAAGTCGCGACGATGGCTTTTATAGCGAACCTGAGTGGTGTATTTTGTTAATGTCGCGTGGGGGATTATTGGTAGCTCGAGTTAATAATTAAACGTTTTCAATAAATGCTGCTTATTGTTGTCTGAAATTATGCATAGTGAAACCGCTTTATACATGCTTCGTTAGTGTATTTCGATTTTATACTGATCAAATTCTGATCTGATGATCTCGTGACATGTACTATATTTGACGCGTCGCGACAGCGAGAACATTCTCCGAGATTGTATACTGGAAAAATAAAATAAAATAAATAAAATTAGAATAAAATAGATAAATAAAAACTTCTACTTTAAAATGATGTCATCAGTTTTAGACACTCATGCAAATTATTTACAGTTTTGTTCGATTTTCCCTAGAAACTTCATAAGACATTCTCGAACGTATAAAAACTTGAGTTTTTTGTATTCTGCGCTAATTTGATGACGCTTCGAGATTTCAACTGCTAGAAATTTTTCATCAAGACAAATGAAGCATACTCAAAAGAGCAAGGCTCTGTGTGCAGAAATGTTTACGTGACACTTAACCTGAGAATTTTTCATGGTAAGTATGCACGGGTGCACTGGTACAGCTCTCACCTCTATGACATGTATGTATTGAAAATATTATTATTACGAACCCGTGAGAATTACGGAAATGCCTTTCTCCCATTAAATTTGGGGGGGAAACGCGATAAATTTTTCAAAAACTATGATGAAGGATCTATCGAGATACCGCTACAGAAACTTTCACAAAAGAGTTGAAGAGAAAATATTCTTAGAGATGATACAGTTAAAAGTGTCGATATTTTGTAAGTACAAAATTAGGTTTATAGAAACGATATTTTATACGGCCAGATGGGAAATCATCTTTTTCGCCACAAATTTGTTATCATGTTCTATTACTAATGTTAAGAGATTTACCAGTCGGAACATTAGCATGTGAATGGAGAGGGGTTTTTTTCTAATTTTCTTGAGAAAAATTTATTTATAGTCTTTTATGTCAGGCCAGAACGACAAAGCGTGACTTGCCAAGATAGAAAAAAGGAATGGAGAGCGACCGTTTATCGCGAAATATACGAGTGATTAATGTTTGCCGAATGTTCGCGGCCTTATTTGATTAATTGGTTGTAGATAAAGGTAATCGCGATTCTTGCCGATAGTATTACGGATGGAATGCACGTCGAACCCCCTGAAATCCGATTGTGCGCACTATATTGCAGATCACTCCCTTAACGACGGAGCGTTCTCAAACCCTTCTTGAACTCTAATATACTAACGAGACAACACTTTGCAATTTAACATGTCTGAAGAAAAAGTAACCACTGACATTATCACGTTGACTCGCCACGTTCTTGATGAGCAACGCAAACACAAAGAAGCAAGTGGTGATCTAACGTTGTTGTTGAATACCATTCAACTGGGATGTAAATTCGTAGCTACCAACGTCAGGAAAGCAAGGCTGTTGAATCTGGTTGGATTAGCCGGAGGTGCAACCAATATCTCGGGCGACGAACAGAAAAAATTGGACGTCATTTCCAACGAGATTTTCGTTAATGCCCTTCGTTCTTCTGGAAAAGTGGCTGTCATGGTATCAGAAGAAGACGACGAAGCAATTATAGTCGAGGATGGCTTGAAAGGAAAGTACTGTGTCGTGTTTGATCCATTAGATGGATCTTCAAATATTGATGCTGGTGTCAACGTTGGTACCATTTTTGGTATTTACAGAGTGGTAAGTATAACTCGACAAGTATAAACGGAACACATAAAAAAACGGAATTAGAGAACAAGAAAAAGAGAATGCTGATTGTTCACGTGACTAGACGTATTTAAATACGTTTATCGAAAGGCGAGATTAGAACGTTTTCCGTTTAACAAGTATACACATTTCGTAGAGAGAAGACTCCACTGGCACCGTTGAGGATGTATTGAGGCCTGGTAGAGAAATGGTAATTGCCGGATACTGCATGTATGGTAGTTCGGCCAACTTGGTTATTTCCCTGGGCAATGGTGTCAATGGATATACGCTTGATAATGTGAGCATCGAAATATTGTTTCGCTTGTGATTTTGGCAAAACTATGCTAAATAATCCTAACCGACTTTTTTTTTTCTTCCCTCCACTCCCAAGTCAATTGGCGAATTTATACTCACGCATCCAAACGTAAGTGTGAGCAGTTGGCGTTCACTTTTGATAATTGCCCAGTCTGCTGCTCATTATTCCCCAACTGAACAAATTGATAATGACTATCCATTTACCTTGTTTGTTTTCGTTTAGATAAAAATCCCTCCCCGCGGCAAAATTTATTCTGTCAACGAGGGTAATGCCTCGTTCTGGTATCCAGCATGCACCGAGTATTTCAATTCACTCAAATTCCCACCCAGCGGTAAAAACCCTTACTCGGCACGTTACATAGGTTCTATGGTTGCTGATGTCCACCGCACTCTTTTGTACGGTGGCATCTTTGCATACCCTGCTGACAAGAAATCAAAGAATGGCAAACTTCGTTTGTTATATGAATGTTTCCCTATGGCGTTTCTTGTTGAACAAGCTGGAGGACAAGCTACTACTGGGACTACGAGGGTGCTTGATATTGTGCCTACCCAAATCCATGCTAGAGCTCCCATCTTCTTGGGTAGTAAAGATGATGTCGAAGATCTCAAGAACGTTTACGCTAAACACTCTACGTCATAGGCCCAGCGCTTGTGAATCGTTCTCACTCACTTGGAAGTCCAAAATAAAAATAAAATCCCGTCATTTATTATTATTGTGATCTATTACCGCAGATCAGGCATTCTTAGAATAACTTTTCCTTCATTTTTTACATGCTCCTTTAACTTTTGGAATACTCCACTCTTTTCTAACTGCTCCGGTACTGTCTTCTTGTTAGTAGCAAAGTAATATATGTCCCAATCTGGCACGTCTAACAGTTGATCATACTCTGCCAGTTCCTCTTCCGAAAATTCGTGCAAATACTTATTAGCAAAGGTAGAGAGAATTAAATCCGTTTCGAGAATACCACGTTTTCGTGACTGATAAACCAACCGAGCTCTTTTCTTCTCAATATCTTCGTTAACTCGTGGGATTGGAGGAATAGCGGGCCACTCTACATCCTGATCGATTATATTTTGATGAGACTGGCTAGTTGACTTTTGAGGAAGTTCGGCTCTATCATTCGACGTGTGTTGGTATCGATAAATTTGACAGAGCCCAGAAATACGTTTAGCTGAAGTCTTTTTAGAAATTAGTCCCGAAGACGGAATAAAAGTCCGTACGGGACGCAAACGGAAAGAACGAAGCATTATTATTATGAGCAGAGATTTGTTTTCTGATGATCGTCGCAACAGCATCTGTTTTTGGATTAAAAAAAATCATTTTATTATCTAATTTATTTATACCAGTACTTCATTCTCATTCGTCTGTAATGGGGCTCTACTAAGTTTAATTTCCTCCCAAGCTACATTCATTCTACGCCAATCTTCTTCAAACTCTCTGTATTTATTTCCATTCCAAAAGTCTTTAAACGAACTCATAATCATCGTTGCATCGGACGAGAGCAACGAGTGGGACTGTGCGAGTTGAACCTGAGACGTTATAAATTCCTGCAGCGTTTCTGGAGTTGATAAAGAAGCTATAGATGAATACGACGATAATGATGGTGGAGATGACGATGATGATGATGGCGGTGACGATGAAGATGTCGGGCTAGCCAATATGAAAAGAAAACCGTAACTAGAAATTGAAACGGGATAACCGATAATTAAGTTGTTGGCACGAGATAGTGTTACTGTTATATGTGGTAGCAATAAAATGATCGGAAAGATCGATCTCACCCGTAAATTTGTGAGCATCCATAAATTTCTGAATGAATCATGTTCACATCTATCGTTGGTTTCGTCGTGGTAAGAGCTTGTCGGATTAAATCTATTGGCTAAATTTAGGAATATTGGTTAAATAAGATGTTGTATAATTTTACAAGTTACGTGAATGTTGCTTACATATTTCAAAAACGCCAGACGGGATAGACTTTCAGTTTCTTTTAGTACCTTTCCCTAAGAGACAACGCAACAATTAGGCCGATATGGTAAAAAGCAAAAAGGAAGGCTCATATTCTTTGATGATGAAGAAATTGTATACCAGATTCTGGTCCCATCGTAAGCCAACATTGCGCCCTTTACAATATAAAGCTGCCATTGATGCCAATAGATCTTTTGGATAGTTGGGTGCAAGGGACTGTGGTATATATAATCCTATGGCAAGATTTTCATGATTCAAGGCGATATCGTTCATAGTCGAAGAAGACAGACAGACAACCTGATCACCGTAGCTACAGTAAAGTAAACTGTATATATTACATCGTATTACTCACGAGTTTACCTAGTTTATCAAAATTACCTGTGGAACGCAACGATCCGTCCGCCAGATTGTAAAACTCTCTTCACTGCTTCCCTGTACGTCTTTGTGGTCTCCTCTGTCTCATCTGACAAGTGCCATAACTCTGCTGTAGCGGCACGAGGCATCTTGGTAATTACTGCCCGAGGTTCGTATGTTCCTTGATGTACGCCTATACCATATATAAAAATGTAGAGCTGAAGCGATATCATAACTGCTAACCCGCATTGATGTAATATTGTTTACATCAGACGAGTTTTTTTGTTGGATTAGACAAACCTGCAAATGAGATAAGGCCAAATTTTTTGCCAACTAGAAAAATAACAGTAGCAATGAACGTCAAGAAATCCAAATCGGCAACCAAGGACTAACAATATTGCAATTATAACCAACCAAGCCAATGGTTTTGTACTAATCTGTCCAGTAACAACATTGAAACCACACAACCCTTTGAATCGAATAAGAAGCAAATAAGATACATAATCCTTAGACAGATCAAAGATGTTTCTTGCATCGAACATACCTGACTATGGGCAAGGAAACATACAATGTCGCATCTTTTGAATGCACCATCCTTCTTGCTCTGGACTGATTCCCAAGCATCCTCAACACGTTGAGATACCGTTCCATCTGATGCGATTACGTGCTCGTACTTTGTAATGATGTGAACAGAAGAAGTGTAACCCAAAGTTTTTCATACGAGTTTATAAGGGGAAATCTTTTTGTCACTTACGAAAATGGAATTGGGAACATAGTTTTTGAATTCGATTCGTGCTCGCCTAAGTAGTTCGTCAGAAGTCCTTGTGCTATTACTATAAATTGGCCCTATTTGAATATAATCATCATTTCACATTCATAATGCGCTGCAGGATACATGCTTCGCGAGGCTTACCCCAGCCTGATTCAAGACAAGGAATTTTAGTTTTATAAACATGTGAAAACGACAAAATGTATAGTATTCGTGTCTCTCACCATGAACTCCGACCAAGAGGATCCTCAAGGTTTCAGGAATATCTCCAATATCACGCACTAAACTTATAATGCCGTTTTTGACTGGGAATATTACTAATCCAGACGTCTGTTGAACAACTTTTACATAGTCCATTCTGACGCTCTTTGCAAGTGAAGAAAACCCCTTGGGTGATTATAGAAATGCGCAACTTTTAAATTCGTTAATAATTGAAAGTGGTTTAGCACAAAATTCCGCTACTTATTATTAAGAACGACAAATCGATTAGCCTTTTTAATGCTAAAGTTTGAGAATTTATCTGATTAGCTGAGAGGTAAGGGAGTTGTGGTCAACAGCAATGGCATAGTGATAGACCTTGTAATCCGCTAATGTAAGGTGACTATTGGGAATAAAAACTGGCAATAGTCATCGCAATTCACCTATCAATATTCTTACAGCCCTTATTAACGCTCTTGCTCAACTTAACCCTGCTTTGTTAGCTTGTTCGATTCCGGTTCATGAATTTATTATTCAATCAATGCACACTCATCTATCCCCTTTCGGCTATTAAGGCGATTCAATCTTTACTTTATTAATGTGATTAGCGTGACATATTGACGGCATTCTGTTACGCATATCACATTTACACTTGTTGCAATCACTTTCGTAAAATTACGAATACAGATCAAAGGTTTCTTATAAATAATAATGCACTTTTATTCATACGTAATAGTGAATAGTAGCGAATCTAGCGTCATGTAAAGGTTGATACTTAATTAATTTATTATATGTATACTAAAACTTAACCACGTCACTGCGGGGGCCTCGGATTGAACATCGCATCGATGTAAGGCCGAATCATTTGACCCATGGGTGTTTGTAAAAAGTCATGTGGTAGGTCTGTAAAAAACATGAAGTATTAGGCTTGGGAAAATTAATTGAGAATTGCAATTAGTTATCCAACTTACTTGTAATCTGAGACGGAATGGATTTACCCACTAAAAACTCACACGCTGCGTTCGAAAAAGTATTACAATTATTGTCCAAGAGGTGATATTTGTCAAAAGTATAGATCTGCCTCAGCTCTTCGATGTATTCGAAGAATATGTCTTCAGGAATCTCTGTAACACCCATGTCGATTTTTTGGTGTGGTATTCCCATAATGGTTTGGCCCTGTAGTGATGAAAACAATCAACAGATAAGTTAAATGCATAATAACCGTGTGAAAAAATCTCAGATAAAACTTCTTTCGAAAATTGTACCGGTAATTCAGCTTTTATTCCATTTCCATAATACCATTCGAATCCATAGACAACAACGGACGTATGCCATATTCCGTCTAAATCCCATGCAAATATCATTACATTCACATTCGCACGTCTAAGAGAGCATCGCCATTACTACAAACCTATTTGTCTACCAACAACCGGTAGAGACATTGTCCTGGCCATGCCATGAGATAGATCGTAAACATATAACTCTACTCGTGCCATCGAACCGAATTGAAAGTGATAAGTTCTTTGGGGAGAATACAGCAAACGTGTATATATATATATGCAAGTTATATTACATTGCGTCATATAGTATGACGTAAGTATACAGAAACGTAACCAGTATTGGTGTGACAAAAAAGTAGCAAAGATCCGCATATTATTTGGATACAACACTATTACGAAATGAAGATGAATCATCTGTCCAAGAGAAATCGTGGCTAATCAAGGATAAGCGAAAAATTCATAAATTTGTTCAATTCCTTCATGGTCACCCAGTTTCATGTTTCAAATAACATAATTTTATTTAATATAGTCATACCTCTACGCAATTACTCAATTTCTCGCACTCGATTTGAGACTATTACGACTTTTTGTACCCTCAAGTTCTTATGTAATATTCTCGAGATGCTATCATAATCATTGAAGAAATCAAAAAACAAGATATCATCCGATGCAAAAAGATAAATTAAGAATTGATCGCTATCACCTCGTCCAATTAAAGCTGCGTGCGACTTTACTAAACTACTGTATAGCTCAATTTTAAACAGTGAAGAACCATCTTTATATGGTGCATCGCCTAACTTGTTTGAAAACGTCTTTATTCACGAGCCAGCGAAATGCTACTTCTCTAACTGAAAACGAAAATAGTGATTTTAAACGTTCGCAAATACTTTTCAGAGGAGAATTTCTCATCTAAAAAAACACACTACGCAAGCGTGTCTGGGGTTTTCGTCGAGTGAGCTATTCATAAATGGAATGAGTATTAAAATGGCTCATTTGCAGAGTAAAAATATAGGATGGCCGCCGAGCTCTGATATTATTACAAATTTACCAGTGTAAACAAAGCTGAAACGTTTGTTTCAACACCAAATACCTTGCTGGGTACCCTTCACTTCTTCGTTTTTGTTGCACAAACTTACGTTACTACTACGGCCACAATGTATCATTCGGTGCCAATACATTCGTAGTTGCTTATCACATTTACTATCTATCTTTGTGCACCAGATCATAGCATTCATATGTCTAATTCTTCAGTATGTTGTAAGCATGAGTTGGTGATGAAATTGGTTTCCGAATCAGGATACAATTAGTGAGATTAATGGTGGCGTGGCATTTTAGAAAAATAAGGAAAAGATTTCCGCCCTTTTGATGAAACTAATTCCATTGTATTTAACAGCGAGCGAACTTCTGTTTGGGTTGGCATTATTATTATATATTAATGTTCTATCTGTGTTGCAATGATTGCAAGCTGATCAGCTCATGGATTTTCGTGAACTGGACAGGTCTACCGAGATGCTTTATGCATCTATTCGCAGAAAGCGGAATGAAATTTTCATAAGTTTATTGACGACGGTAATTTAATTTTTATTATTATTGAAGAAATTGTAATTCAGACTGCTAAGCTTTGTGCCAGAAGTTTGCTTGCTTGTCATGAAACCAACGGCTGCAAAGTTACAACGGATAACGAGTCCACCAAAACGCCACCTCGGAAGATGACTTGGTCATCATACCACACTCCCGCTTCTCTAAAGAGATTTCGTTGTCAGTCTAAGAAAACTCATAACGCTCTAATATAATAATAATAACAATAATAAACTAATGATTTCTTTAAACAAAAAATGATTACATTAACTAAATATTAATATCATAATTCGTAATATACTAACTTCGGAACTAATACGCAAGTATTGTTTATTAAATGTTATAGAATCACATGCATCGCATTAGAGTTCTAAGCAGACACGCGTATATTGTCAGTCTATGATATCGGGCAGGCAATTAACTGTCCCATGATCAGTGATGTCTACTGCGCGGAACAAAATTGATGATATTGACAGGAAGTCAACGTCAAATTTCTTGTCCATCAGCTGTTGATTATCCTCACAAAATCTATATTTACTAAACCCATTTCTGTTCAACAAGTAATTTGGTGTGTTATTATTTTTTTATTATTATACAATTTAACCCTTGCTTACAGAGCCTTGATATGTAGGGTCTGCAATAAAATAATAGCAATCAATGATGCAGTTAAGTAAATGATATAAAATATCTTTCTGCTGTTTGTAAACTCACCTTGACTTGGATACACAATGTTATTGTCAGTACCGCTCTCAGCACCAGGTGGGGCAGGTATTTCCAAGCTCTCCAGTGGTGGCAACACTAACGGCTCTGTTGTCTGCATTACTGCTTGTATTTCCGCCCTTGGTCCAGTGGGGCGCGGACGGCCCCAAGCAATTCGCAGAGGATGGCCTTTGAGAATGAGGTTGTTCACCGATCGATCAATAGCTAATTCTGCTGCTGCTCTCGTCGCATAATTTATAAATGCACAATGGGACCTGTGAACCACCACTACGGACTTTATCTCTCCAAATGCATAAAAGTGACCTCTGAATATAAGACGTATCAGAAGATGGACCCGATGTGAGCAATGTGGGTCACTATTCAGTATAGACTGTTTAAGGCTTTGATTTCACTATTTACCTGAGATCTGCTTCTGTAATGTCCTCTTCAACGCCCGTTATAAATAACGATGTCTAAGATAAAATCAGCAAATAGTATAATGAGTGCGTATAAACATACTAAAATAGAAATCCAACCGAATAATGTAATTTTACACACAATAGTTTTGTCCTCGGGAGGTTCAATACTATTGTTCGATGAGCCGCCTTTGAACCTATTCAATATCTTCTTTGCAACGGGGTCATTAGTTCCATAATATCGATCTTTGATATTTTGATGTGAAAGCTCATTTTCTTCTGGCGCTTCATGTCTATGTAATTGAGAATTAAGTTAGTTTGAGACAAGCTAATTATGATATAATATCAATCTATAATTCAACCAATCATGGTAGGCTAACTCTCATTTCAAATATATCTATTTGTTTTCTTGATTTACCTGTACGGACATTCATCTCCACGCTTACATGTACCTTTGACGAAAAATGAACATATGTGTGGCCGATTTCTTTTATAATATGGCTCTGTTCTCGCCAATCTTTTTAATAGCTCCTTCCCGGCCGAATCGGCTTTATGATAAGATATTAGGCTGTCACCGTTTGTTATCTACAGAAACGCACAAGTAATCAATTAAATCAGATGTGTCAAGACAAAGGCAAAATTCCTTTCCTGTATTGTTGTGTTGTCTTCCTTAACCTATATTGCCGGCAGCGTCTCATTACTTACCCTTCCTTCGACGTTCTGTGCAAAATACTCCCGATTAATTTCTGACCTAGGTGCATCATTGGTAATGCCAAGTGCTGTATCTCGAACTTGTACTGGGAGATTATAATGCAGATCAAGCAAACACGTTTGGCAGACGTTTTTTAGTTTAGCGCAGGTTTGGCAGATTTCTGTTTTCTTGTACCGCATTCCACTGCCGGGCATCCAGCGGAAGACTGTGAATGGACGAGTACAGACCTTTGATTACAGAATAAATCATTATAGTTAAAATCAAGTGATCACTTGACGTTTACACAAGACAGCAATACATACTTTACATTCCTTGCCATACACTTGTTTCGTCTGAATAGGTAAACCTTTAGATTTAGTCTTTTTTCTCAAAATAAGCCAGCGATTCAATTCATAAAAAGTTACCACTAACCATTCTCACGTAAGGGTTGTTACCCAGACAAGTTTCGCATAAGATCGGAAACTCCTAAAAATGCACATCATAAATGCAAACACGTACATGTATGTTTTAAGTCAAACATGACATCTGTAATTCCTGTCCAGTTGCAACAAGTACTTACCGATTCCTCCCATCCTTGCTTTGTAGGATCGGCTTTAGCTGCCATGAGTATATATTAATATATAGATATTAAGTTTAAGATTTATTGAATACTGACGCTAATACGAGTTTTTGCAAAATTTATATTGACATGGCGATCATGTACTGTTTACGCCACAAGATGTCGATCATGTGATATTGATTACTGTATATTAGTAATAGGCAATTCTTGGCTGCAGAGTTGAAAAACCAAATGTCATCCTTTGCGCCAGGTCGTGAACCATACTCTAATGACCATACAAAACCGCAATGGGGTTTGAGTGGCAGTCAAAGGTGTGAACGAAAACAGTATATAAAGAGTCTTAGCGAAGGAAGGGTGGTAGTAAAAGATCTGTCATTCCACACAAAACATTCCTTTATTCCATCTCAATGACCTCCGCGCACACGACGTACGGCAACTAATATTGACTATCGAGCAACATATTAATATACGGTTTTAGACTTAATTTGGGCATCGACAGAAATCGCAATCAATTATTATATTAGACAAAAAAACCTTTCACTGGAACAATTAATGGAATGCGATAACAACATGGTCAATGGGCTAGCATTTGGAAAGGGCATAAATTGGGAATACGAACAGGAAATTACGACATGCAATTTTCCAACCTGGCTGCGTTTGCTCCTCTATTTCCGAGTG